CTCTGCTGGGGCCCTGCTCTCAGACTTCCAATGTAGTGGGCAAGCCCAGCCAAGGTAGATGGGCTGTCAGAGCAGCTTGAACAGACTAGGCCTGACATTGGGCAGGAGACCTCCAAGGGAGCCTCTCCTCTGTCTTGGGGCATCAGTTGCTGTGCCTAAGTTCTCCCTATGTTGGGAAAAATGGCACCCACAGCACTGGCGGGGCCCCTGGAGACAGCAGACTGGGTAGGGAGAGACGCAGACACAGGTGAGACGCACAGAGTGTAGGTGCTGTCCTGCCAAGGCACTGGCCTGTGACTCATCTGGGAGAGACACAGTGGTAAGATGCTGGCAGCCCACGGAGGCACGGGTGCCTTCATTCCACATGCGAGTATCAGGGCGTCTCTCTGCCAGGGCAGGAGACCACCCACCACCCAAGCCCGGGGACCTGCATCAGAGTAGCTGGGGTCAACAGCTGGGAGCCGGCCCTGCAGCATGGCCACATGAAGTGGCCAGCCTGTCACCAGGTTCTCCTGGGGTGTGGTACCATCTGGGTCTGGGCTCTCCGGCATGTGCACGGAATGTACTGATGACAAGGACAGACACATTTTCAAGCATGACCCAGATGCCAGGGTAAAAGGGCAAAGGAGGTCTGGGAGGACACGGTTCAGCTTCCCGTCTCAGCTCAGTCCCTTTGCTTCTGCCCCTTCATGCTCCTCTCCCCCACCCCCAGGACCTCCCACTCGCGGGCCAAGGCCGAGGCAGCCCTCACGGCAGCTCAGAAAGCCCAGGAGGAAGCTCGGATCGCCAGGATCACTGCCAAAGAGTTCTCACCTTCCTTCCAGCACCGGGAAAATGGTGAGTTCCTCATGGGCAGCACTGGCTTCCTGGGGCACGAGCGGGGATGGGCTCAGATGGACCCTACCTGGAACCACCACCCTGGTCAGTCTGTGCTGGGCCTGGGCACACGCATGTCAGGGTACACACCCGTCTTGACAACTCTTTCCACAGCCCTACAGCTGTGTCTGTCTGTGCACAAGGGCACCCACCCCTCACTCCTGGCTGTCCACAACCATCAGCGTCCCATCCACTTGCTTGGCCTGTGTCTGTCCTGGCTCCTCCATCTCCCCAGTGTTGCTCTGGAACCTTCTGCAATGATGGAACCATTCTCCATCTTCTAGTTCAGTGTGGCAGCTGCCACGCTTGTGTGGCTATGGGACTGAATCTTGAGTTTTATTTAATCCTAGCTAACCTACATTTAAATGTGCCCAAGGGCTGCCCTGTCAGCACTACTCTGGAGTAGGCAGCTCCCACTGTATCCTCTGGAACAGAGCCGGAAACTACTGCCTGATTTAGGAACCTGGCCCTTCCCTCCAGGTTGGGAGTCTGGGCAATAAGCCTGTGGTGGGGCATGCATGAGGTGGTGACAGATGGCTACAGGGCTGCCAGTCCTGCCCCAGCCCCAGTGCAGACTGACCAGCTGCTGCCCCATCTCCTGCCTCGCCAGGGAGCTGCCTCTACACCAGGAGGCCCCAAGAGTGGGTTCAGGTCATGCTTCATTACAGCCATGCTCCAGACCAGTCTGTGACCAGAGTGGACAGTTGCTCCAGCTGCCATGTTGGTCTGTTCTGACACCAGGACTGACCCTGCTGCCTGTGCCCCATGCTGGCCTCTGGCAGGGAGGAGCCCCAGAGCCTGGCTGTGCTCTAGGTCCTTTCCCTGAGGTGGGCAATGGCAGCTCTCCCTGCCACCAATCTGGAGGGGTCAGGAGATTAGGGTCTTGAGCCTCAGGTCCAGGGGCTGAGGGTCCTGCAGAGACCTCAGATGGTGTTCGACTTAGGGTGGCTGCCTCAGACACAGCCTTTGTCCCCCACCCCACCACCTACCTGGGCACACAGGAAGTCTCCATGCCTCTGCCCCCGGTGTCAGTGACGTCTTTCTGCCTGTACACGCCCCCCAAACTCTGTGAACAAGCTGCCCAGGCAAGGGGCAGGGGCAGGGGCAGGGCTGCCTCCCACCTGCTGCAGGGTGGCCGAACCCAAGCTTTCAGGGCTCCTGGTCCCCCTACTCCCGCTCACAGAATGCATGTGGACAGGACTTAGCACTGTATCCTGGCTGTGGACCACCAGGCTCTAGCCCTGCACGCTCCCAGCTGATTCCACTGCCCAGGGCCCACCTCGTCACCTCTCAGAGCCTCGGCAGTATCTAAAGTTGTCTACTGTGCTGAATAGGAGCCCCCAAGAAATATGTGCCCGAGAAGCTGGGATGTGACCTTGCTGCACAGGTGTGATTAAAGTGTGGGCCTTGAGATGAGACGCTCTTGGGTCAGGCTGGGCCCTAAATTCAGGGAGAAGGCAGAGGCAGGGATGGGAATGTGGGACACAGGAGCAACCTGCCCTGCAGACACACCGGATTTCAGAGCCCGGCCTCTGGGCTGAGAGCTCTTCAGACCCTGCATGTGGCATGCTGCTGCTTAACAGTCCCCTCAGCCTAGACTTGGGACTCAGGGACACCTGGCCAGGGGCTCACACTCCTGCAAGAGAGGACTTGGGCTGAAGTGCATCTCTGTCGGGGGCCCAGGCATGTCCCAGCCCGGTTGCATCCTTGGACCCTGATGTCTCTTCTCTGGCTCCTGTGGCCCCCTGGGGTCCTTCCCAGCTGTCTCTTCTGCTAGAAGGAGTTCGTCTGAGCCTTGTCTGAGCTGGGTAATGTCAGGGTTGTTCTGGGACGTGTCTTCCCAACCTCTGGGCGTTTCCTGTGTCCACCTTGAGTGCAGTGAAGATGAGCATTCCCACACTGTAGAGGTGTCCTGACTGCGGGGTGCTGAGCCCTCCCTCTCCTGGTCTTCTTGCAGCTGGTGTCCCCACTTGACAGGTGACAAAACTGAGGCTCTGGTCTTGGACCAAGTGTGGCAGAGCTATTAAAGCAAGGGCTGGCTTCAAGGCCTGTGCCACACTCGCCTCAAATGTCAAATTATCAGTGTGCTTTAGTTAGGGGCACGTAGCTACCTCCAGCATCTCTGCTGACAGCCGCCAGCCCTGGCAGCCCTGGGCCTGAGAGCTTGGGCTGGTGGGGACTGGGGCAGCTTCTTGTTCACTTGTACTGTGGTACCTCCCCTGCCCACAGCCTTTGGCTGTGGACCCAAACTCAAGGTGCGAGAATTGAGCCACACATGCACCAGGCTCTGCCTTACACCCTCACAGGGATGCTTCCGGAACTTAGCCGCTGACGGGCAACAAGGTACCAGGGTCTCTAGGGTGCCTGCACCTGGTTCTCTGTGTTGGCAGAAACCACATCGATCAGTGCTGTGGCATTCACCCCTCCTACTGGAGGCTCATGGAGCCCTGGAAGTCTTAGTAGCTGGTCACACACCCCTCCTGTCCAGGCCTTAGGGTCAGGCTCTCAGGCTAGCTCTGCAGAAGGCACTGGCCCAGCTGCCTCTCAACAGAGCCATCCTGGGTGGGGCAAGACCCTGCTGTGATACCCCCAGGCTCTAAGACCGCGCTAGTCAGCCTCAGGAAGGACCTGAGGCCACACAGGCCAGGCCAGCAGCCTTGATTGCTCTCTAAGGCTTGGGGTGACCCTGCAGCCTAGGCTGCTGTCCACTGCTTCTGCTGTGGCCACGGGGAGGGGCCCCACTCTCCCTTGCCCACCTCCTGCAGTGTAGAGGTGCTGTGCTGCCCAGGCCCTCCCTGCCTGTTGCCTGACCGGGGTGACCCCCCACCTGGTGACTCGTCCTTGCTGAGGGACACTCAAGGTGATGCAGTCCTGTCTTCTCTCCCTTCACAAAGGGCTGGAGTACCAGAGACCGCAGCATCAGCTTTCCTGTGAGGACATTGAGGTGCTCTCCACGGGGACACCCCTGCAGCAGGAGAGCCCCGAGCTGTACCGCAAAGGCACCACCCCTTCTGACCTGACCCCTGACGACAGCCCTCTGCAGAGCTTCCCCGCCAGCCCCACAGCCACCCCTCCACCAGCCCCTGCCTCGAGGAACAAGGTGGCCCACTTCTCCCGGCAGGTGTCTGTGGATGAGGAGCGAGGCGGGGACATCCAGGTGCTCCGGGAGGGCCGGGGCGGGGACCACGCCCACAGCAGCTGGAGTGAGGCGCGGCCCGCGGGTGCCAGAGGTGTCCGCAGCGGTGCCCTGCGCAGCGGCCAGCCCGCAGATGACTTCCGCTGCCGCGGCTCGGGGCACAAGCAGCCCGGGAACCCCAAGCCCCGGGAGCGGCGGACGGAGTCCTCGCCCCTATTCTCCTGGACTTCCCAGCACCGGGCCGGCAGCCACAGCCCCGGGAGCGCCAAGCTGCTAGAGCTGGAGGAGGAGAGGCGTAGCAACTACACGGCGGAGATGCAGCCGCTGCGCCGGATGGATGCGCACGCGCAGGACGCGCACCCCCAGAAAAGACGCTACAGCAAGGGGGGCACCGGCCGCGGTGCAGGGGAGGACCACCGCGCCGAGGACCGGGGCTTCGGGGTGCAGAGACTGAGGTCCAAGGCCCAGAACAAGGAGAACTTCAGGCCAGCGTCCTGCGCGGAGCCCACGGTACAGAAACTGGACAGCCTGCGGCTGGGTGGCAGGGCTGAGCCCCGGCTGCTGCGCTGGGACCTGACCTTCTCCCCGCCCCGCAAGTCCCTACCTGTCGCCCTGGAGTCGGATGAGGAAAACGGGGACGAGCTCAAGGCCAGTACGGTGAGTGGGCAGCTGCTGGGCGCTATTGGGGCGGCACGCGCGGGGTGTGTGTGAGCCTTGTGGGTTGCACCCAGGCTGAACCCTCTCAGACAGCATCTGGGTGGTTTGAGAACTACAAAGGGGCAGGCAGCAGGGGCCCCAACCTGCTGCTGCTGCTGCACACGGCCCAACAGGAGTCTGCCAGGTCACAGACACTGCTACAGAAGGCACCGTGCAGTCCCAGCTTACCACACTCTGAGCGGTGCTGGGGCTCACTCGCAGGCAAGGACTCCGGGAGACAGCCTTGCTCAAACACCTCCCACTGTAAATGCACCCCACCCCAAAGCAGGTTTGGAGGAAAGAACAGCTTCCCCTGGACTAGACTCAGAGCAACTGAGGGGGCCTCCTGGGTGAACCCTTCACCCCTTCTAGGCTTCTACCCCTAAGCACAGAATCCCTGATCCTGTGGCTTCAGCCCCACTAGGCTCTGCTCACCTGCTGTGGCAAGTGCTATGGTTTCAGGTCTAAAACAGAAACACTGAGTCTCTGGAGGTGAACAGCAGGAACAGCAACCGGGGCACAGCTCAGGACCAGAGGTTCCCTCCAAGCCCCCCGGTGCCGGAAGTGCACAGGGCCTGGTGTGGGAGGCTGGTCCTCCTCTACGGGCCCCCACATCTGTGGCCCGGGGGAGCTGGGGTTTTCTCCTCTAGTCTGCCACCCCCCAGGGGAGCCTTGCTGTGACACCGTCCCTTGCATGGCGGCTGTTCAAGGGCTGCTGGCCAGCAGGGCCACTTGAAACCAGCATGCACAATCTGCCCCGCTGGTGCCTAAAATGCCTCCTCTCCCCCAAATACGCACACTAAGAGCACACTCCCCCAGCCCCTGCTCCCACTAGGACCAAAATACCAGCTTGCACTTACAACTTCACCTCCCCCAGCAGCCAGAGGCCTGTGTGCAGGTTATTTCAGGAACAGCCAGTGCTGGGCAGGGGTAGGCGGTAGAGGGACTGGATTTGGATTTAGCCCGCCTGATACACAGCTCCTTGGGTAAGTGGTGGCTGCAGGAGATCCCAGGGCTACACTGGGGGCCCGCCTTCACCCCAACACACCTCATCTCACTCTCCAGGGCCTGGGCTTAGGTTCCTCCACATCCTATTTGCAGACCCGGTATCCTCATCCCAGGGCTGTGATGGGATACACCAGGCAGGGTCACCCCAAGGTGCTTCTCAGAACCATGCACAGGAGAGAGGGCACCTGGGGGAACAGTGTAGAGTGGTCTAGATGGACCCCCCTCCTGGGACCTGGGGCAGGGGAGTATCCTTGGCCACCGCCCACTTTCCAGCTAGCGTGGTGCTGGGGGTGCATTCATGACTGGGAATGGCAGTAGCCCCAGCCTCTAAATGTCTCGTGTTGTGGAGCTGGGGAAGTACTGCTCTCATCTGCCTTCCCCCTCCAAGCACAAAGGCCCTCCCAAACTGCCTCCAGCAGTCCCTTGGAGGCATGGCCGGGAAGGACTGCATAGGGGCTCCAGCTCTGCTAGCAAACTCTGTGGCCCAACCTGGTCCCTGGGTGTTCTCAGGCCTTGGTTTCCCCACTGGTGGAGTGAGGGGCGTGGACCTGAGTCGTCACCATGGGATATTAAAGCACCAGGCTGGGGCAGAAGTGCCCAGGTCAGACCATCCTCATGCCCCGTGGAAGTGTTGACTGCTGCCCACAGAGGCTGGGCCCTTCCATCCAAAGGGCAGGCGGACTTTACTCTGGTGGCTGTCATGGGGACTGACTACACTGTGAATAGCCAGGCACAGACTCCACTGGCCCTGGTGCTGAGATCCAGGCCAGCTCTCTGTCCACAGGGACTCTGGGTCACTGTGCCCTGCACTCCTGAGGGCCCCTGCACGAGGCTGCTGTGGCCCATTGATAAGAGGCCCCCTCAGCACTGCCACCACTGCCTTCCCATCAGCCTCAGGTGACTACTGGTCTGGAGGGTAGCGAGGGGTTGGGCCTGGCTGTCTGTGGATCTTCTTCCTTCAGCTGAGTCCTCAGGAGGTGTGGGGGACAGTTCAAAGTCCCTGTGCTTTGAGCAAGCTTTTTCAAGCTGTGCCTTTGGCTGGCTGAGAAGGAGCCCAGCACAGGAGACACCGAGCCCAGGGATGGCAATGCCCAGGACACAGGCTAAACAGGTAGGCAGTCAGCGGGCAGCCCTGCACTCAGGGTGCAGAGCAAGTAGGGGGCACACAGATTTCAAGGGATGGGTAGGCCCAGCTCCCAGTCATAGTGAGCATGTCTTTTTCACAGTGCCAGCACCTTCAGTGACTCACCAGGTTGTCATTAGGTCCAAATGTACAGCTGCCAGCCCAGGTTGGGCAGGAGATCCCTGTGTTGGTCATTGTCACATGCAGTCTACAGTAGCCCTGCCGTGACAGGGTGGGGCTGAGGCCTGGCCTGGCTGGTGACAAGGCCCTGGGAGCTGGATGGCAGTGGTGTGGCAGCTGGGTCAGGACACCCTGTGGAGTGGGGATAGGTCCCTGGGTATCCCTAGGTGGTTTTACTGAGCCAGGACACAGGCCAGGGGAAAAACCCTTGGGTTGGTGGGTAGGCAGGCAGGCAGCTACCCCATTAAGGACCAAGGGGCCCCAGAAGGGACTGTGCACAGTGGCGCTGTGTCCCCATTTCCATCCTGAGATCAGCCCTGGAACCCCAACTCAGGTGCTGTGACCTGCAGTAACTGACCCCTTCATCCTTGGAGCCCCTTCTCCAGGCACCGGCTTTACTGAGATTTCTTGCACTACACAATTTGCTTGTCTGAAGTACACCCAGTGCAGTGGTCTTCAGTGCACCACAGCCATGCAACCTCACAGCGCCTAGCAGTCACTCCCCACCCCACAGTCACCAACCTTTTGGGGGCACGCCCGTGAGTGGGGTCATCCACATGTGGCTTCCATGCTCGCTGCTTTCACGCACACCACGTCAACCCGCAGAGCACATCTGGGTTGTCCACTTACCTGTGGGTGGACTTCAATTTGTTTCCACTTGCTGGCAGTTGAGTCATGTTAGGGACATTTAGGGGAGTGTGTGGGTGGAACCACTGGGCATGTGGTGGTCCACAAAGCAATTCTGGCTGACTTCGGGGACTCAGACGGTTTTCCAGTGTCACTAACACAAACAGCTGGCTGGTCGCAACAGGGAGAGAAGGTGATGTCCTTTGTGGGAGAAAAGGCATTTTTCAGGATCACTCTCACTGCAAGTTCAAACAGGACTCATCTGAAGCCGTGGGGAGCTGCTTAGTCTGGAAAAGCCAGCCTCCATCGTGTCTGGAATCTGACCATAATGGGCCTTATGAAACCAGTTTGTGCTGGGGCAGGGCAGCAGAAGACAAGCCCTGGCCGTCTACACCCCAAGAGCATCTACACCAGGTGCAGCAGCAGGATGCCTCTGCTTCTGGGAAGGAGGGCCCATCTGTCCTGTGTGCACCTTCCAGCCAGCTAGGGAACAAAGGATACTGGGGAGGTGGGCAGCAACAGCTTTTCCAAGGCTGGAGCATGTAGCACCCCTGCCTGGGCCCAGGACCACACGGCCTCTGCTCTCTGCAGGGACCAGTGCAGGTGCCACAAGCTACCAGAAGGCGCTTCCCTTCCTACCACAAGAGGCCACCATGGAAGCTCTCAGGGATGGTGGCCACAGTGGGAGTCTGCTCAGTTAGCACAAAGCTATCCAGGGCTTTGTGGTTTATGGGAGGGTGACTCTGTAGGGGAAGGTGTGTGTGCAGGACTGAGGCTCACATCTGCTGCTGGCTGTGGCAGCCCCGTGGGTGCTCCTGAGATTCCAATTTCAAAGCTCCCAAGTCTCCGTACCTCACCACAGCCTCCAGCTCTTGGGATTAAGTGATCCTCTTGCCTCAGTTTTTCTATTTTCAATAGAGACAGGGTCTTGTTCTTGCTCAAGTTGGTCTCGAACCCCTGAGCTCAAGCAATCAACCCTTGGTCTCCCGGAGTGCTAGGGTCACAGGTGTGAGTTACTGAGCCTGGCCCAGGCCCACGTTTTTCTTTCCAGGAGGCACTTGCTAAGTTTTCAAGGCCACAAAAAATTCTAAGACTAGTGACTTCAGACTTAGGAGCAAGGGGGGACACGTACTTCCTGAGGACAACACTGAGGGCTCCCCCTCTACAGAGATGTTCTGATGAGCCCTGGTCCTGTGTGGTGCGCTGGAGAGGGGTACGAAGAGTGTACGTGAACATGGCTGCCCAGTTCACGGCTGCCTTTTCCTGTTCCAGGGCTCGGCACCCATCCTGGTCGTCATGGTGATCCTGCTGAACATCGGAGTTGCCATTCTGTTTATTAACTTTTTCATCTGAGGAGGGGGCTGCTGTGTACCAAGGGGCACATCCACAGAAACCAACAGGAAGGACAGCTCGTAACTCAGACGGGCCAACAACTTCCAAGTCTCTTCGCAGAAGAACACGATTGGGTATTACTCACAGTTTGCCTTTTTTTCTGGGTAATGTTTTTTGGATTTCAGCCAAAATTCTTTGCTTGTATAACACTCTGCTGTGTGGCATGGCAGAAGGAGGCCAGCACGCAGACCCCCAGCTCGACGTGGAAAAGGGGGGTCCGGCAGATGAACAGCAAGAACGAACATCATGTTACCATCATCATACTTCCCACCGGGGGTGGGAGGGCCCTCGGAATGTGTGCCCGGCCGTGCCTGGCGAGGGGGAGGCAGCTGTGGCTGGACCCTCACATGGAGGCCAAACTCCTCTGCTGCTCCTGTCTGGAACGGCCTGGCAACTGGGGGTGGGGAGGGTCCTACCCGGCAGGCAACCTGCCCTGCCTGAGGAAGAGACGCCTCCTCCCCTCTCCCCACTACACAGCACTGCCCGGCCTCCCTGGAGAAGCCGACCCCCCACACCAAGTCTTAAGCAAAGTCCTTATTTCTTCTGCCATTCCCCCCACCAGACCCAGAGGGGTCAGAGGCCGACTATGACCTGACAGGGTGGGGCCGCGTGCAGGGTGTGCAGGCAGGCTCGTCCCTGGCAGTAAGGGCCCAGAGGACGTCTCCTCTGGCTGTCACTGACCTCAAGGGGTTCCCATGTCTGTACCATGCCTGCTTGGTCCCCTAACAGACATGCATTCCCCTTCCAGATGCTCTGTGCTGCCCCAGGGCGGGTCTGGGCCCTGGACAGGAAGGTGGCTGAAAATTCCTGAGAATCTGTAGCATATCCAACCTCCACCCCCACTGCAAAATGTACAATGTGACTTGTTTCAGTCAAACAAAAACAGGTTCCTCATGTTTCTGCCTCCTTCACCAGGGTCGTTCCATCACTCAAAAGAACAAAGTTTGCCAGGATGTCCGAGTGCCCGAGGCCCTGGCCCTCGTGTGCATGGACGTGTCGGGGGGACTCGGCACGCCCATCACAGGACACCCTGTGCTTGTGCCGGGGGTGGGGGGTGTCCGTGACTCTCATCCCGCCTTCTGGGTGCAGCCGTCTCATGGACTCTGCCTTGCTTTGCTTACGTTTAGCTGTCCTCTGCTGCCTTTCGAGCAGATTTCTTTACTACACTGCACTGGATTGCTATATTTTTAACCAGAAATAAACTAAAGATTAGAGCATGTTCCAGTTAAATTCAGTTTTACTGTTTTCCGTTATACGTTCACCGCCCCCCACCCCACCCCGCCCCGGTCCTTCTCACAGTCTGGTCTGGGGGACAGAGGAGAGGGTCAACTGGTGGGCACACAGCGCGCTCCTGAATGTCGCTTTCTAAGGGGATATGACATCTTTTTGTACATCTTACTTTTCCGTTCCTCTTTTTTAATATCAAGTGGTTGCTGCAGCCCTGAAGTGAACCAAATAAAGATTCCTGCTCTTTGCAGCTCTAAGAATCTTCTGTGCTGGGGTGTGTGCTTTGTACTTCTGTTTGCAACTCTCTGTAAGGGTTAGACATGGAAGGGCACCCATGAGCAGGCTGAGGGCCGACATGGGACACCAGACACACACGCAGCCCCACAGATGCAAGTGTCGAGCACTAGTGCAGGTGGTTTCATGTCTGGGAGAGCTCGTCTGCTGCCACCAGTCAGACAACCTCGGAAACCACCTTGACCCCCTTGCCCTTGGCCCCACATGCAGAGGGCAAGGCCATCTCCTCAGTAGATTCCGAGTGGGTTCAGTCAGGATAGAGGTACACTGGGCCTGAGAGTCCAGAAAGCAAACCTCTAATCTCCAGGGGATTGAGGCTGCCTCTCAGGACCCTGCAAGCAGCTGACTCTGTTACCTTGCTCTCCCACCTGTCCAGAGCCCTTCCCCAAAAGGCACACAAGTCGGTCCTCCAGGGCACATGGTCCTGGTAGACACATCGCACTGAGCTCCAGGACGAGGCCAGCGGGGTGGCCCTGTGTGCAGAGCAGCCTCACTACCCGCCCTGACAGCTGTTCCCACACCTCAGCTGTGCACGCTGGACTCCTGAGGGACAGGACAAACCACTCGCCACCCCGGCCTACAAACTGCACAGAGGCCCTCAGGTCACCAGGTAAGCCTCTGTGCCCGCAGTTTACCTGCTTCATTTCTTAGACTTGAGGGATCTCTGTACTGGAATCTGATTCTCCAATGCCTGAACACGTCTCCCTGTCCCCTCCTGGACACTTGTCTTCAGCATACAGATGGAGCTAGGCACTCAGTTACAAACCAAAAAACTGATGAGGCGAAAAAACCCTGTGTGGCCACAGAAATGCAATGCCTGTCCAAGTTTGCAGAGAGGAGCAGCCCTGGGGCCCAGACTCACTGCCATGTGGCCCAGCCACCTCCCTCTCTCTCACACACACGCGCGCACGCTTTGCCCTGTGTCAGTGCCAGCTTGCAGGTGACAGGAGACAGCACTACAGGCCCCTCCCCATGTGCACGAGACCCAGATGGCTGCATGGCAGGACCAGTCCCTCATCATGGGCTTCCACAGGCCACTCCACATGCTTCCCTCTCACCTTCCTGCAGGTTCCTGCTCACAAAAGGCTATTGCTGAGTGTCAGAAAACTTCCCCACCTAAAGTGCAAGGGAGGACAGGTGAGATGAAATATTCCCCACACTTCCCTAGAATGGGCTCTTATCCTTTGAAGATTTCCCAACATCCTGAGTCAGCACCAGTATCACTCGGGTCCCCACGTGGCCTCCTCCACTGGTCAGACCCACACCTCCGACCTCTCCCATGCAACTCTGACAGTCACACATTTCATTTTCACATGTGCAGAAAAAATACACTCACGATCACGGGGCGAAGGGTCTTCTCTTGTCTAGACTAAGCCCAGCTCCCGGGACTGGCCCCAAGTCTGTCTAACAACGCTTCTCACCTTTGGTCTCAAATGTAATGTGAGGTGCCTACTTCAGACTTCTGTCCCCGCCCCTGCACTGTGCGACTCCTTTTCCTTCAACCCGCTGGCAGTTTGGGTACAGCTGGCTTGGCTTTTATAAAGCATCTTTAACTGTGCCTGAGGCTGGATCAACACTCCAGATAAAGAGAACGACATTGGGCCCAAGCACCAATGTCAGCTCAGGGGACACGGTCAGCAAACAAATCCAGAAGGTGGTCTGTGCTGAGATGCTAAGCAGTGTCCCTAACCCAGCCTTACAAAAAAAGTGATGTTGCCTTTGCTCTCCCCTATGCAATACAGAAAGAAGGGGCCCCTCCCAGATGCCCGAGCCTCCCAGGTCAGAGGGGGAAGGTTTGGTGCCCAGGAATAGTGAAACCCTGAGAGAGAGAAGCCATCTTCAGGAGATAGTCAAATATTCTTCAAAACATTAGCACCATTTCTGGAATTTGAGAAACCGAAGGGTGAAGTACTCAGGATCTGAATGGGACCAGTGCATCTTATTCCAGTGAGTCCTGAACCTCAGATGCAAGCAGCCACACGGGGTGACAGACCTATATGCAGGTGCACGTCTGGGGTTCCAGGGCCTGGCATGGCAGGCAAGGCAGGGGGCAGCAACCCCCCACACCTATCTCCCTCAGGCACCTGTTCCCACCCACCCCCTGGACCAGATGCACACCGCCTGTGCACTAGGCCACCTGCTTGAGTTGCCAGAGTGCCCACCTGTCCTGCATGCGCACACCACTGGCTGCCCATCCCACTAGTGTCTGTACCACAAGGATGCAGGGCTCAGGTTATGCCACATGCACCCCTAGCCCACCACAATCACTGTCCCTGAGATCAGGGCAGACTTCCTACCCTAGAGCTTCCTGTAGGACTGTGTGCCCAGCAGACAGAGGGTTATCACTGCAATGGACTCCATCTTGGCCACTGACAGCTCTCACACAGCCATAGGGCTCTGCCCCTTCCTAGAGTGTTGCCCAGACAAGGCACCCTCAACAGGTGACAGTAGATAGACGCTGGTCAGCAGGGAGGCCCAACCCTGCCACCCAGGGGCTCCCCAGACAGCAGGGTCAGGCAGAAGGCAGAAGACAGGCGTGGGGTGGGGCTGTCTCCACGTGGACCCTGGGTGACACCCGTACCACCACAATTACAAGCACTGAGGCCAGCATGACCAGCAGTTTCCACATGAACACCCACTGATGGCCATCCTCTCCTGGATGCTGAGCTAGTCCTGCCCAGTTTACCTGGACTCTGCACACCCCCAATCCTGTAGCGGCTCCTGCAGAATCCCAGGAGCACTCTGGGAAAGCGCCCTCACTCTGGATGAGACTGCTGACCCTGGTGCAGAAGCCGCTTTGGATTCTGACATAGAATGGTCCTGTCCGCAGACGTGTTCCTGGTGCACATCAAGTATGTGCTGACCCAGTGCCGTCACTTAGTGTGTGTTGACAAAAAGGGAATGTTGACTGTGTTCTGACTCTTTATCAATGGAGTTGCTAAAAAAAGTTACCTTGGCCATTTCTCCTTTGGCTGGAAAATTGCTTGGTTGTTTAAAAATGAAAACCATTTCCCTTAATGAATGTAAACTGTTCATACCATTACAATGTGTTTTACTATCTGAGAGCAAAGGATCACGAGATTAAAGAAAAATTCTGCTCTTTTTAGTAATAAACATCATTTGAAACTTTGCAGAACTTGTTTTGTCTCATTCACTATAATCAATGTCTTTGCTGGAAGCTCCTTTACTGCCAGAATTGAGAGATGGATAAATGTAGGTTCCTTTTAGAAAAAGGAGCACATGTCACGCAGCCCTGTCTGTAAGGCCAGCACTACTGGGCAGGACGAGCATGGTAGATGCAAACCCGGAATCCAGGCGCCAGCGCCCTCCGCGCTACCACAGTGTCTGTCTGTCCCCTCACCAGCCCCGGGTCCTTGCCCGAAACAGGGAGTCTCCCTGTGCTGCAGCCCTGGTGAGGAGATGGGAGACACAGGATGACCCACAGGGGCAGGTGCTGGCCTTGAGGACCTTAGAATACGGCCTTTTGTAATTTATCTTCATTCTCTTAAACTTGTACATTCGTGCGGTCATCACCCAGTATCTCCTTCCAGAGGCTCATGCTTTTCCTGCCTCAGTGCCACCCAAGACCTGCCAGGGGCTCTCTGTGTCTCTGGATTAGTTCTGCATTTGGCGGGGCTTGGGGGGCTGAGGGTGGAGACAAGAGGAGAGGCCAGCGTGGGACTTGGGGAGGACCAGGTCACCCAGGCCCCTGCACTGTGCCCATCTGCTGCTACAGCTAGAGCCTGCCCTCCCTGGGTGCCTGCTGGTGACCAGATGAGGCCTGGAGTCGGCTGGCACTGTCACAGCTCTCACAGAATAGGAAGGACGGCTACAGCCTACACCGAGGAGCCGGCGAGGCCAAGACCACGAGACGTCTCTGGTGACTTGTGGCCTCCCCACGGTTTGCTGTCTGACTCTACACAACCTGGGAAAGCAGAAAGTTCCTTCAGCACACGTGGAGCTAAGGGACAGACGGCAACCCAGGCCGCACGCCAGAGCCTGTCACTTGTCCTTCAGCCATCTGCCCCACCCCCCCAGATCAGCTCTTCTGATGAAAACCACCAGCCAGCCGTACCATGCTGCCACCTCCCCATGCAGCCCACACGGCACCTGCCCCTCAATTACAGGCCCCTGAGCTCCCTGCTGGAGAGGGACCTTTCGCCAATAGGCTTCTTCCAGTTTCTGGTCCCTCAATGACTGTCACTTAGACAATGACTTCCTGCTTCTACTAATTCAGTAAAACTTCAGAAGGCATCAAGTTGTGGTGAACATTACTGCCACATCTTAAACACCCGGCAGTCCACATGCCGAGCATCGCCCAGCGCACCCGGTGGGTCCTTAAGTTTTGTTCAGCCCGACACAAGCCAAGATGCCACTGCCTTTGAGCCACCCTCAGGCCCTGACTGCAGCCTGTCCACACTGTCCAGCGGTGTGGGTGTTTGGGTGTTTCTCTGGGGCTTTGCGCATCTCTCAGCTTGGTTGATTCGATCTCCAAATAGCGACACGTTCCTCTCAGAGAAACAGGAGACGCCTGTGCTGCGGCTACCCAGAACTCACAGACCTCACAGACCTGCAGAGCAGGAGGGGAAAGGACGTGGCTGCTGCATGAGGGGTGCAGGGGTGCCTCCGCACAAGGAGTCTCGGTCAGGCTGCCTCCACATGGCTTCCTGGCCTTGAGGACCTTCCAGCTAGCTCAAGAGTGTCACGAAAAGCCCTCAACCGCCCAGCATGTAAGAGAAAACACAGGCTTGGTGCCCTGAGTTCAGTGGGTAGGGCACCGGCCATATACATAAGAGCTGGTGGGTTCAAACCTGGCCCGGGCCTGCTAAACAACAATGACAACTGCAACAAAAAAATAGCCAGGTGCTGTGGCGGGTGCCAGTAGTCCCTGCTTCTTGGGAGGCTGAGGCAAGAGAAACACTGAAGCCCAAGAATGTGAGGTTGCTATGAGCAGTAATACTACAGCACTCTACAGTGAGACTGTCTCCAAAAAACACGATGCTAAAACCAGAACGTGACCCTCTAACTGCCGTCCCCCACTGGCCAGACAGCCAGCGCTGCCTTCCTAAAAACTGGTGGCTCCCATGGGTACTGCCAACACTACATCTAGAGGGAGGGGCATGCAGCTACACAGGTCACTCGAAAGCCACCACCTCCCGAGTTGGAAGGTTGGGAGAGGCCTTAAGCCAGGCCACACTGACCGGGCTGCCCACAGGAGGGGCCTTGCACCCCAACATGGACCCAGAGCAGCTGCTTGCCAGCTTCTGCCCAAGGAAACCCTGGTTCTTTCCAGGCCAGCCCAGTGGCTGTGAGCTAGCTGTGAGGACCAGGAGACGCTCTACCAAGCTGGCCTCTTATGCCCTTTCTCATAGAGGCATCTGCAGCCCAAGGCTTGCACTGCCAGGAGGCAGGGACACTCACCCTTCTGTGGATGCCTAGGTCACGAGTGCAGTGATGGAGACTCCGCCAGTCGCTACAGAAAACCAAAAATCTTACATTCCTGTGTTCCAGGTCTTTAAGATGAACAGGGCAAAAACTGTACCAGGTGTGAATATGAATCCAAAGCCCAACTTTGGGCCCAATTACACAAATGAAAGTTGGTTTCCTGTCACTGACCCAGAGCAGGCACCAGTTAGCACATCAAACGTCACAGCGAGGAACACGCGACCTTGGGTCCAGATAGCTGGTGCCCTGGGGGTTGGAACCCTTCCACTCATTCTGCAAATGCCAGCCCTAAGCTCAGAGAGGAGAGAGCAGGACGGCCCCCATCCCAGCAGGCCACGTTGCTGAGGCATGGCGAGAGGTGCTGAGCTCAGTGGCCTCAGACATCACACACTCTGCCACGAGACCCACGGCCCAAGCCAGCAAGAGTTTCCCCTTCAAGAGAACTGGGAACACGTGCACAAGCCAACCACAGCTGCTCAGGACAATGCTCAGACATCCGATAGATGTAGGTAACCAGACAGTCTTCTTGTGCTAAAGGAAAAAACCCACAAGGCACAGTACGCCAAGGAGTCCTGGGACAGACGGTGCTTTCCAGGGCTCGTCCTCAAGGTTCCCTCCCCCTAGGAGTCCCCCAAGGTTCCCTTCCCCTAGGTGTCTCTGTCCCCCTGGCACAGAGACCTGTAAAGGACATAGAGCCTAGCCAGACCATGGCACGTGGCTGCACAGAGGGACAGCTGAGCAGGGGGCTCCTTTCAAGTCCGATTTATTTAGACACCACAAAGCTGAGGGTATCAGCTGCACTCAACACCCCACACGGCCTTGCGCAGGGTCTTACAAGAATCAGAGAAAGCCTTCACCGTGGCCTGGGTTGCTCTCAGCACCTCCTGCTCCTGTGCATCAGGCCCCATGCTGTCCCGGGCCAGCTTCGCCCAGTGTACCTCCGTCCTGGGCAGGTAGTCAGCAAACTGCGTGCTGGGCGCCGCCCCTGGGTGCTCCTTCCGCGTGAGAGGAGAAGGGAAGGAGAAAGCAGCACGTTCAGCTGAGGGGAGGCCTGGGAGGGCCGTGAGGAGATGGTGCTGAGCTTATGGGTGTTACGACTTGGCCAGGGAGCCTTCATCACATGAACAAACTGCTGCCCACACCTGCCTGGGCACCCAGAGTTCCTGGAAGCTTTCTATTGCCTCAAAATATTCACAGACTACAGCCAGTTCTAATAAAAATCTCATAAAGATATGAAATCTTTCTTTACCCTTAGGAGGGAAGAGGCTTGTGGTCTGAGTTACGCCTGGCTCCCCACACCTGCTCACCTCCATCCTCAGCGCTGCTGTCCTCCGAGCTGTCCTCCTCCCCACTCTCGGCCTGGTCACTGTCCTCACCAGAGTCTGTCTCCTCCTCTAGCCACTCCTGAGTGTCTTCAAAAGCAGAGCACATATTCACATCAGGGGAACATGCACTGGGGGACCACGCACCAGAGGACCACGCCCTCAGAGGATTCCACGTTCTCACTCAGCTGAGAAGACATCTAACTCTCCTGCCTTGAATGCCTTGCTTGGATCAGCAAAGAAACAGACTGTTTCCCAGGAGCTTAGAACAGGGATCCCAAAATGGACAGAAGCACAATCCCACCCCTAAGGGAGCACCTGGCCAGGCACCTGCTGCCACAGGCAGCTATGGTCCACTGGTGGCCGCTCCTGCAAGCAGTGAACATCTTACAGCTATAGTTTGACACCTTTCCCCAAATACATGGATTGGCTAAAGAAGCCTGGGCCAGAGAGGGGCAGGAGCAGGGATCAGTGAGGGGTGAGGGACAGGTGGGAGGGAGGCACACTAGTATCCTGGGCCACCACAGATAAGCCCAGTACAGACCTCCCAGTGTCAATCTGGCCACAGATGGGGGCATGATCCACAACAGGGGTCATTAGCAGGGGCGGATCTGGGCAGCATGGGGGGCTCGTGAATGACCAAGACGCCACACAGTGCTTGGCCTGAGCAGGGTATCCCTACCCCTCACCTGGGTCCATCTCCACCAAAGCCTTCCACTCCTCCATCTTGTGCAGGTCAAGGCAGTACAAGTCGCTGAGGGTGACCTGGCGGTCGCCTGCCTCAAACATACCCCCATAGACATACAGCACTCCATGCTTCACTGCCAGCATGGCGCTGGAACGTGGGCTCGGCTCCACCATGGGGCTGCTGGCTTCCTCAGGACTGTCTTCATCCTCAGGAGGTGGCCGTCCAGAAGGCTGCGGGTCGCCAAGCACCTGCTTGATGGTGACCACTGTCCCATCCTCCGAAGCCACCTCTGTGACCACCTCCAGGGGCACCACACTGGCTGCCCCACAGGCCGGTTCGTCGGCTTCTGCAGGCCCAGCCTTCTTGCCCCGCCGGCGACGTCTCTTCCCCATCTTGGGTCCCTTTAACAGAAGGGGGAACGGAGAACAGAGCTGCAGTGGGATAGGGACAATGCTGCCACATCTGTGAGGCCAGGCTCTGTAGACAGGCTGGACACAGGGAACATGTGACTAAGGGAAATGGGCCCAGTGCCCTGTGGCCGCCCACCACATAGGCAGCGACGTGGATCAGCCTCACCGCTGGGCTGAAGGGAGCACCCCACTGGCCCTCCCTGGCAGGCAATGCTCTGCACCAGGAGCCGGGGACGAGTCCCCCCCGAGCACCGTGCTGGCTGAGTGTGAGCTCGTCTGGAAAGCCCAGTGTGCTGAGTGTCAGCTTCTAGAGGGCCGGGGGTGGTGGTGGTAGTGGTGGTGGTGGTGGTGCAGGATGACTCCTGTGGCTCCCACACTCAAGTCAGTCCCACAGTCTGAGCTGACGCAGAGACACCAGGCCCAGAGTGGGGCTGTCAGTACCATGTTTCAGGGCAGCTGCACCCTCCTGCCACCACCACTCACCTTCTTTGCTTTTTTTTTTGCACAGTTTTTGGCCAGGGCTGGGTTTGAACCCACCACCTCTGGTATATGGGGCTGGCGCCCTACTCCTTTGAGCCCAGGCGCCTCTTAAGATGACAGCTGCCATGATTTCAAGTGTTCTAAGCATGATCACCTCCAGATCAACACAGTCAGATTCAACTCTGGGCTTCTAAGACCTACTTCTGAGACCACGACACTGAGTCAAGTTTTCCAGGGTCACCAGCCGCTCTTAAGAGTACAAAGGAGCCCCGAGGCCAGTCTGGGAGCTACATTGCCAACCATCTCCTGGGGATCCATGCCGCACGAAGCCTCCAGGGAGAAACCTGCACGGCCCAGCCCTAGAGTGACTCCTGCTAACACTGAAGAACCGAGGAGACCTGAGTGCAGAATGGAACCCCTGCACCTGGGTGATCTTCCCTAAGGGGCCAAAACGCTGCAACAAAGGCTGTCTTCACCACAGTGGCCCCCACCCTCGACTGTAGGGTTGTTTCTGGGTCTGGCAAACTCACATGCACCCCAAAGCTGATGAAAGTCCACTCCTGAGACTACCCACTGCCCTGCCCATCCCAGGCTGGCCCGGGTCAGCAGCTATGCTCATAGGACAGGAAGGCAGCAGGAAGCAGGGGCAGAGACCCAGGAGCCAGGAGGCCTCAGGCATCTCACCTTGGGCCAGTGACTGCCATTGTCAGGCCAAGATACCAGCACCAAGGGCTCCCCAGGAACCCAGGGCACACAGAGGCAGGTACCCCTTTCCAAGCATGCCCACGGGCTCCAGAAGCCCAGACACCATGCCTGAAGGGAGTCAAAGGGGAGCTGGGCTTCACATAGGAGCCACACCCGACCACATGGGCATAGCCCACACTTGCCCAAGTCGTCTCTACCTTTAGTTGTGCCGCAAACCAGCGGTTCCTGGTGGCATCATAGAAGTACAGGTCATTGAAGAAGTCACCTTCCAGGCTCTCCTCATCCTCCTCATCGCGGACACCCCCAAAGAGCAGCGTCTGGTGATTTGGGGCCATGGCCACTGAAAACCCAGACCTTGGAGTGGGCTTCACGCCAGCAGGGTTGACCCGAGACCATTCCCATTTGCCTGTCAGAGGGGAACAGAGCAGGGGGGTGAGGATGAGGGACCCTGAGAGCAGATAGCTCTCAGGTGGCAGATAGCTAAGGAACAGAGCAGGGGGGTGAGGATGAGGGACCCTGAGAGCAGATAGCTCTCAGGTGGCAGATAGCTAAGGACCTCCAGGTTTCGTTGGTGCTGAACAAAAAACACCAGACTGTGAGTAAAAGACACCACAGGCACCAGAAAAACCAAACTAACTCCTGACACGCAGCGAGTTAATCCTCCAGGTGCCACGGGCGCTAACCTTCCTCACATCCTCCATATGCACCACACATGGGGCGACCCCAGCACGGGCACACCATGGGAGGCTCAGACCCATTCCTTGTGGTTACGTGAGCAAACATGCACCTTGAACGTTGTCTTCTTCCTGGGGTTGAGGAGCTGAGTGTACGGGTTCAGGACCAAGGTCCAGCGTCAGGACCCTGGGCTGCTGGCCTACATACCAGTCCCTGCCCGCAGGCCTCCCTCACCAGCCACAGCATGTGTCATGTGGAGAAGCCTCCTAATACTCCATACTTGGGTATGGAACATTTCTGATGCCTTGGCTTGAGGAATTTGACCAAAAAAGATAAAAAATTTTGCACAGCCACCTCTTCCCCAGAGAGGTGAAAAATGTGCTGCAAGTCCCATCAGTGCCTTGACTGCAGCTGCTCCCTCAGCTCCACACGGAGCCGGGACACCAAGGCCATGATAAGCCACTCAGGATCCCACGTCCTCTGGAGAAGTGACAGAAGAGCAGCACCCCTGGCTGTCACCCCTACACACTGCACACATCTGTGCCTTCTGCAACTCTGGGGGTCTTTGGAGCAGCCACTGCCAAGAAATACCATCTGTAGCTCATCTCCAACTGCCAACCCCAAACCCAGGAACACGGGACAGGCCACAGGTCACTCATGGAGGGAGTGAGGGTGGCTGACTTCAGCCTGAACCCTCAACAGGGCCACCATAGGCTGCCCCATAAATAGGCCCACATCATAGTTTTAAAAGGCCCCAAAGAAACAATTAATGCCCCTGAAGAATTCCTGAAACTCCCATTAACAAGCAAGTTCTGGCCTGGCTGGGCAGCCCTAAGCCCAGGCCTGGCCTCATCTCAACAGCGAACCCCTGTCACCTATAGTTCCAAGTGTCCCTGGAGACTCAGGCCAGTGACTGGTTTCCCACAGAGAGCTCCAGAAACCCTTCTGGGGACAACCAGGAGCCTCAGAGGGGACGCTGCCTCCAGTGTGCAGCTCCATGGGCAGCACTAACTGCTGCAGAGGAAGGTGGGGCCTCTGTGTCCCACCTCCACCACCCGCTACCCTGTCGCAGATGGGCAGATGCTCCATGCAAGCCTGAGCATATCCAGCAAGGCCCAGTCCCCCACAGGCAACAGCAAGGCAGAGCCCCTGCTCATGGCTGAGCCCGCGCAGCAGCAGGAAACCAGCCACCTGACCAGATGCGGTGCCAGTACCTTCTCTGCCCTCCCCAGGCCTCAGCAGGAACATGTCCGAGTGCTGTGTGCCTCTGTCCACATCCTTCCTGACTCTCTGCAAAAGAAGGGGATGCAAGTGAGGACAGCCAGGGCCCATGAAAGTGGTGCATCTGGCTTGGCGCCTATAGCTCAACCAGCTAAGGCGCCAGCCACGTACACCTAAGGTGGCGGGTTCGAATCCCCAGCCCGGACCCGCCAAACAACAATGACGGCTGCAACCAAAAAAAAAATAGCCGGGCGTTGTGGCAGGCGCCTGTGGTCCCAGCTACTTGGGAGGCAGAGGCAGGAGACTCGCTTGAGCCCAGGAGTTGGAGGTTGCTGTGAGCTGTGATGCCACGGCACTCTGCCCAGGGGGACAGCTTGAGGCTCTGTCTCAAAAAAAAAAAAAAAAAGAAAGTGGTGCATCTCAGGCCAGCCTCCAGTGAAAACCAAACCCCCACTCTGATACCACCTGATGGGATTTTAAACTCCTTGTTCTAACAGCTGCAATCCTGCCCTAAACACTCCAGAGCACCACGCATGGTGAGGGCATCCTATGGCTTCCCTGCTCTATGTGGAAAGGCCTCCAGAGGCACCACTGGGCCTGCAGGGATCTATGCACCTGGACTGTGTGGGGCTCAGCCTGCTCTCCCCTGCCTATTTGGGTAGTGGTGTGGACATGTGGACAGCAGGGACACTTGGCATGACCTAATGTCACTTTGTGGCTGTTGTCCCCACGTGGCCACTGGGAGCCCCTTCAGCTGCTCTATGTCCCTGTGACACATTCTGCACATGGTTTTGTTTAAGCACACCCTTGGGTTCTGGCACTCTGAGGTGTCCCCAACCCGCCTCTCACACCCCTGCTCCGCACTGGAGTGTAGAGTCAGAGGCCAGGCCTGGGTGTCACTGGCTCTGGGCCTGGAGCAGCAAGGGGACATTGTTCGTGTATGGTTCTCTGAGCTATACAGAGTTTATAACAACAGGGAGAAACCAACTTGATCTCTGAAAAACTAAAACACTGTCCATGGGAAATTCTTCACAGTTCCCAACATTCCAAACTGAGAAGGTCGACGGTCACAGGAGAACAGTGTGAGCCTCTTGCCTTCCCATGGAAACATTTGGACAAGTGACAGTTTCTGCACCTCAGTTATTAAAACAAGACAGTCTTTTCTTTCTCTAGCAGGTTGGTTCAGAAACAACTATCATTTCCACACCGACTCTTCTAGACCAAAAGGCCCAACATTACTAGGAACAAATTCACACTAAAGGTCTCGTGTGCTGAGAGGACGGCAGGGGACACTCAGTGCAGGCAGGGGGTCCTCTCAGGCCCCTGGCAGTGCTCGCGTCCGCCTGCCTCCCC